TCTCGTCCAATAATGACTAAAAACTACCCAATTTTCGCAAATACCAAATCCATTTGTGGAGGATATGATTACATTTCTTTGGTATCTTTTGTATGAGAGCTCCTTCCAGAAACCTGTCCTTACCTTTCCTTTAGTGTATCCAGACTGTATTAGAATAGCGAAATCTCCAATCTCATGAGGTACCTCATGAACGAGAACAGTGACCATTGTAACTAAAAGCAAAACATCTATTTAGTTGTTCTCTATGGGTAAGCAATGTAAATCCAAAAAGTCAGCAAATAAAAACTTTTGCCTCACAGATAAAAGAGCACATATTTTGCAAAAATTGCGCTTGCGGAATAGTATGATGCTTAACTTATATAACACCCTGACCTCATCCAAAATTCGACGGTGCCTAGGGTGCGTCACATCTACTCATGGAAAAAGGGATGAAGTACCCCATTTATCGATCTTTTTTTGGTAATGCACCACGCCAAGAATAGTAGTGGACTGAATGGCATGGGGCCTACGCAGTGACTTCGGGCCAGCCAGTGCGCAAAAGAGTGTTCTTACCTTTCGAACGTATCTGGTGCCGATATACTGTTCCACGACTAAACGAAGGCTCTGTTGACCTGAGCGGAAGCCGATCAGAGATCCAACCCTCTCCCCCCCCCCTTCCCGGTACTCGCATTCCGTCTCACACATCACATTTTCAAATTCGACCAAATTCAAGAAACGCTTCCATACCGACACCAACAGTAGTCCCAGCAATGAACGAGGCACCAATCGCAAGACCATCAGTAAAGTTGTGGGCGAAATCAGCCACTAGGTTGAGGTACGCAGCGACCTATAACATATGATAGAGGCAGCGTGAGCTAATAAAAAAGTGGTCAAAAGTGAATAGAGATAGCAAGTTGGGATTGCATCACCCACCTTGATTCTTTCAGATTTTGAAAACTCGGCTTCTTCCGCTTCCTTCTTCTCACTCTCCTTCTCGTCCTCCTTCTTCTTACTCTCTTTCTTGAGAGCTTTCTTGGCTGAGCTATCGGACTCATCCTCATCTGACTCAACATCAGAAAGCTTAGCCTGAAAAACTGGTGCTTCGTTTCCACGAACTTTGAGTTGGTTGGACGATTTCGTACGATTTAGAAGCTTGCGAAAGGTGATTGCATTAGACTGCCCGCTCAAGTCTGCGGCCTCATTCGCACAAAAAAGAAACTTGCTCTTGCCGATTGATAAGCCGAGAATTCTGGGTCCACTTACACACACAAGCATGAAGGAAAAGAAGCACAAGCGTTAATCAGTACAATGTGATTCGGGTTCAGTACATGATACTGACTGTAGATGGAGACCATCGCCACACGAAAGACATGCACATGACTAAAGCACTGCAAGCGCTAACTGCTGAGTAGAAAGCGCCTAGGAAACAACAAATACGCCAAACGCTGGAAAATCAACAGTAAATTATAGGCCTCGCTTCACTATAGCAGCGCTCAAAATTTGAAATTTTTGAGATCCATATCGTAAATCCTAGCAATCGAAACTCATCTTCTCTGTTTTAAAACACCGTATTATCTTCAACAGGATCGTCGTCCTTAAAGGCCTGAATATAGCTCAAGGCTTAGATGCTCCACCCTCTACACCGGTGGTGGACTGGTAAAACCGTTTCTCTCATTTGGAATTTTCAGTAGTTCTCCTTGAATTCAACAACGTGTACAAAGCGTTTGGCGGTGTAGAGCGTGCAACATCTAAACCTTCAGTTATGTTTAGGTCCTCTGAGGACGACGATCCTATCGAAACGTCAGGCCATTTTCAATAAAATCTTCCACTTAACCTCTTCGGCTCGATAAATTGAAACTGCAGAGTTCCTATGCATAAAGTTTCCATTGTGACGTTGTTTCTCATCACTTCGAAAACACTATCAAAAAGATGTTCAGCTAGCGTTTGTCCAGAGCTCAGGGATTTTCACGAGGTCTGCACTTTTCACGAATGCGTGCTGCGGTGGATATTCAGAGTTTGCCAACTGTCACCAGTCACAAACATCTTCTGCTCGCGCCGCAAATATTGCAGCCATAAATCCACAAGAAGCACTCTCTGTCTGTACGACAAGGCACGAGATTGCACAAAGGTAGGTGATGATTAACCACGTTATTTCTTGACTTTTTTAGACTAACAACCAATAATAGCAATGCAAATTTCCGCAATCCTCCTCGCTACCTGCATGTGTATCTAGAGGTGACAGCATAACCCACTGTTTACAATGCCATTACAACGCAACTGGTATGCAGTGAGTGGTCATTCAAGGACACCAAAAGCCAAAGACGCATTCCGCGACTGCGTTGGTAGCGAGGTCAAAACTTGGATTTGTAGTTGCAAATTGCCCTGACACAGGGAAAAGAACAGAATAAATTTTTGGTTCAGACTTCGCGACGGCAGCGCTTGGTCGCGCGTTTGACGCGATCGATGCAGTCGAAAGCATGCGCATCGATCGTCGAATCGCGCGACCGAAGCGCTGCCGTCGCGAAGTCTGAACGCTGCTTAAAGCAAGGAACGACTGATTTACAGTAATGGACGAGCGTGTAGTGAAAAAAGACACCAAGACCCCACCGCGCGAGCCACAAAGCCGCACGCAGTAAACTACGCTTCTAGGCATGGGCAGGGTATCACAAGCGCCCGACATGGCCACACATTCTCGAATGGCGGAAATGATAGACCAATTCTGCCTGCGGTCTTGAAACTCTTACACTTGAGAAGGATTTTGTCTTTCAGGATCGCAGAATGAATGTTCGTGCGAACAGGAAAATATGGATATAAATTGAGCTTTTAAAGTAGTACGTGCCAATCTAATAAAGTCAGTAATCGTTAAGTTAAATAATTTTAGCAATTTCTGTAACGTCAAACCTTTTCGGATTTGGGAGCAGAATGGCCGTGAGAATGCCCATGGCCGTGACCATCTTCTCCACGAACAATCCGAACGAATTTCTCGACTAGCAGGAATGCAATAATACCTTTAAGTAATATGATGTGAAGAAGAAATTACTCGATGAAAACAGAGGATCTCACTCGAGCCAATGGAACATAAGAGCGTACCTGCAAGTACCCATCCTCCCACACTCATATCATGAGGTTCATGTCCATGCCCTTCTTGATGGCTGTGGGAATGGGAGTGGGAGTGCGCATGAGAGCCGGAACCGTGAGGTACAGCATGAGGGATCAAATGTAAAAATGCGTCTCCAAGCAGACCACCTGAGCCGAAAGCCAGAAGAACTTTGAGCCAAGGTCCGTTCGAAGGGGAGTTATCCTATAAACAAGTTGAAAATGGAAAGTATTAATTGCGGTGTGTATTTTAGCTCGTGTAAAAAAAAGAAAGATAAGCGAAACTACGAAGAAATTCACCTGAATAGGAATGAAGAATAGAATGAAGCATGGTGCTGCACTAATCAGTAACGTGGCTCCAATGGCATGCATCCAGAGGTTTGATTGTGTGTGCTGCAGATTCACGGTTGGAAAACAATGGACTATTAAAAGGGACAAGAAACTTACCGAGCCTTACCCTGGCCACGATTTTTGTGAGGGTGCACTTGTTCAGCATGGGAATGACTGAAAGAAGATTTAAGTAAGTTTAAAAATAAATGAAGAAGGAGAGGACAATCGATAGCAGCGATTTCTAGTACATCCTATAATTCGAAATCAGGCTCAGCCTGGGGGAAGACTGAAAGGAATAGTGACAATATCTCAGCGCACACTAGGGAAAATAGAAACGCATTAAAACTCTTATGGTGTATATATGCTAATAAAACGCTGTGAGCATGAGCTTCTTGGAGCGAATGAGCACGCCAATGAGAATGTGGACATCCGCCCGCCAGATTTCATGGAGTGGAAGCGCATGAGCTTCGTGAGAGTGATCCATGGGCTTTCGTGGAGTGGCCGTGAGCTTTCATCGCCGAGTGACTCGTGCTCTTCCTCCAGTTCGCGTCGAAGCCGTCCTGAAAAAATCGCCTTTGACATGATAGCAATATGGCAAACTCTTCGCTGATACCAAGGTAAACTCACAGATGATTCCCAAGTAAAGAACAATTTATGGACTAAACACCGGTGCTTAGAGAAAAATCCTTGGGAATAAAAACAATGGACTATGTTGTGAAATCTAATAAATGAGAATTATGGAGGGGATGGGGGTCGAAAGCGAAGTGATAGCCCAGCCTCCGTTTCGCACGCGTCCTTCCAGAGCCTGCGATGTTTCTTCAAGAAAAACTGACTTCATGAACAAGTCATTCAACCATACGGACTCTCCAGGCCGCGTTCAGACTTCGCGACTGAATCGCATGAGCGACTAGACGCGACGCGCAACCGCTACCGGTGCGCTCCACCGCTGCAACGGCAAAATTCAAGCTAGGGCTGTGTAAAAGCGGCCAAACTTGAAATTCTAACGTGACGGCGCGTTCCGTTTGGCGGTAAAAGCGCCCCCGCTCGCGCGACCCAATCGCTCCAGCGATCTGATCGCGAAGTCTGAACACGGTTTAGTGGTTGCTGGGAGTGAAGGAAGATTGGCTCAGATGCCTTGAACTTTATTGTCCGAACTAACTCGACTTCCTGGTCGGACCTTGCTTTGGGATTCAGTGGTGAAACGCGGGTTTGCACGAGGTTCGCCGAGTATTTCCGTACTTCCATAAATCAGTTTTATTATTGAACTGAGTGGGAGCAACACACCTTCTCGTTAAGTTCTCTGGTATATTTGACATGTGCAGGTTCATGTGAGTGTGTATGGGCAGATGATATGAAGACCATGCCAGCAACGAGAAGCAACATCATCACTGCCGACCTGCCCATGGTCAAACCTGCAAGTGGACCGTAGATGTAATTCTCATAGTGAAAAATTGGCAACAAAGAACGAAAAAACCTGAACGCGAACAACTATTGTAACGCACTCGGTTGACGAACCTAGCCGACCCGAATCCACGACAAACAAGTTTAATCCGCAGATCAGGAATAACAGGGCAAAGATCATTCGATTTGACAAAACGCTAACCAGCATCTTGCCCACTATTCAGTGTTTTCAATGGTTCCACACTCAATAGATTTCCCGATCAATCAAGTATCAAGTGACTGCCCGCTCCAAAGTATTGGACCGTAGCCAACTTCGGACTCAAGAAGCACGTGCGCGGATCAACAGGTGATGGGCCTCGGATCCAATGAAGAATGAGGTAACTAAATTATAAAGAGGAAAGCAGAAAAAACCGTCCGAAACGCCCAAAATAGGATACCCGTAATCCGAGCTTGAACATACAGAAAAAAGGAAAATGAGTGCTTGGACGAGCTCACTTGTCGGTATCATACCAACTCTTTCCGTATCACTCTCATCATCTGGAATGGAAAGAATTAGAAAGGGTATCTGCACCACCAGAGGGCCTTTTGGAACGTGGGTGCGACCGGGGGCAACTGGCGGCATTGCCTTTCCTGTCGCGATCTGGTAACCTTGTTTATTCACGTAATTTTTTCCAGTCCATCGAAAGTGGTACATTTACTTCACTTACACACAGGAGTTCCTTGACCGAGAAAGATGTCTGCACATAGTGATGACGGGACGTGTCAGTAACATTCAGGGTAACGTTTTCCTACATTCCCTAGAGTAACGCCATTTTGCGCTAGGCCGGACGTCTGGCCGTTCGGCAAAAGATTTCGCGCTGACCCTTGGGCAACGGAAGGGATGTCGAGCGCCGCCACACCGCCCCTGTAACTTAAACCCTGCGTTGCGTAAATGTTAACTGTTTGATTAATTAATGAAGCAAGCAAGATTCACCACAGGAAAACGTGAATGTGTCAGGACGTTGTAGAAATTCAAATGACTAAAGCGCTAGCGCGCTTGAGCCGCATCAGTCGCTTTAAAGACTGCGCCGCGATGGTTAGGGGTCACATTTTGCTAGAACAGGTGGCCAATGAAGCACTAATCAAAAAAAAAGCAGAAAAAGGTGTGGAAGAGCGTGAAATAAGACCCTATGAAATTTAAGGCATGTGGACGAGTTTCGCAAACTTCTGGTGAGTTCTCCAATACACGTCGCCGCCTCGGAACTCTATTCAGGCGTATATCAATGCCAGCAAGCATTGATAACTGTCAACCAGTCGGGGCGGGATTAACAGGAAAGGAGGCGTCAGCTCAGCGTTGTTGACTCCGCCCTCGTCAACCAATCGATTTCGAGCCGCGAGAGTCGGATCTCCGCTGCGGTTGCGGACTCCGCGTTCGTTTTCAATGCAGAGTTTTTTCACAATGGTTGATCGCGGACTCGCTTGCGCCTTTAAGTTGAACGACTAAGGGCTCAAGTCCCGGTGTAGGACGCATTTTATGCAGCATACATCGTTCGTAAATTCGTTGCAGTTTGAGAAGTGCTTGAGTAAGGTTTGGATATACGTCGATGCTGCGTACGGGTTAGCGCAGATTTCGAACCCTATAACTGCTAGGACTTGGTCCTTCTAACCACAGCAAGTTTCCACTATCGTCTGCGCTCTACGACGTCATGACATCAAACAAGCAACATTGCCATACTTCAGACTGTGTTTATACCTTGCGACAGAACTGACGGCGGTTGCAAAAGTTGGGGTAGGACCAGATACTTGTCGATCTATTTAGGCAGCTCTTCAGATTGATACGCACAGTTGATAACGGCAATTAGCCTGGTCGCCATCAGTCAGTCTCCAGCCGCGCTTTCACCACTGGTTGTTTTCGTTCTAAAACGATCGTTACCCGACCACCATTGGTAGAGCAAGACAGCCGTAGGCGGGACCGCCCCGTCCTCGTCACGCTGCCCCCGACTAACTGCGATGAAACAACATCTAGTCTCTTTCATCAACAGTTCATTGTAGAGAAGTGCGAACGCAAGATAAATGCTTCTTACTCCAAAGACCCTCCCCAGAAAAGCACAACCCTGGAATTTTATTGTACGCTTGTTGCACGTTGCGGTGGTTCCGGACTGCTTGCGGCTATACTTGTTCTCAAGAGGGGAAGTCCTACCTTCCGCAGTCTTTTGTCTTTCTGAGCTCTCCTTTTCGCTGCAGAATCGTCGTAATAGCATGATCTTGCAACATTGCTTTGAAAGGTTATTTTTTTCAACTATCAAGTCGATCGCCCAGATGAGTAACAGATGGAGTAAGCCAGCGGATTCTGCACTCCTGACTCCACGCTTATATTTGCAGGATATGAGTGGATCTGCCATAACGCCTATACTATACATAGAACTATAGATATGGTTCTAAGTATAGTAGGACAATACAGCGCAATATGATCTGCTCAGCAGATGAACGAATTCTGTTTCCATTACCTGCATCGAAATGCCTATCCGATGCGCTTACACACCTTTTTCTACATGTCATATCCATTCGCTTGTAGCCCCCAATAAATGACCTGCAGTCGCTAATTGCTTGGGGTAAAGCTGACTGTAACACTTTTTCAATACTCTCTATTAAGCGCTTGACCGATTAGTAAAATTAAAAGCCTAAAATAAAATTTTTCAAGGTGTGTCACATTACTTCAGATTTTCCGCATCTTAATTTTTTCCCGAGTTTCACCGTTTCAGGCAGCGTTCACATACTTCGCGACAGCAGTGGTGATCGCGCCGCGATCGTCGGTACGCGTCAGAGCGCGCCCCAACGCTATTACTTGGACCGCTCCGAGTGCTATTAGGAGGAATTGGCTTAATTTCCTGCTTTTTTTTTTCTTTTAATTGCAATATCAGGTACTGGGTCCGTTTTGACTTAAGGAAAGGGGGATGAAAACTTTTTTAATAACTTTCTTTTTGATTCAGGATAGAAATGAGCAAAAGCAAGGAGGCTTCATTTAGGGTAGACTTTCCTTATTGTTTCTCCTTTCGTTCTTCGAGCTTACACATAACTTGTAAAGTTTCCTCCTCTTCGATGTTCATAAAAGGATTAGTGTTTCGATTCCTAGATGAGTTCCTTCCTATTTTATTTTCCGTTGTCTGAAATCGACTTGTAAACTATAAATGTTCTTGGAAGCTGTACACCCCTCTTGGCCCAGCTAGCACAAGCTTTCCCACTACAATAAATTGAAACAATGAAAACAAAAGAAACAAAGAGAAGTTCACGTATTTAATGACGTTGCACTTATCCCGGCCTAAATAAAAGGTGAAACTATCTCCTCCCCTATATTCCAGATCCTTAGGCAGAGAAAGTTCATTTCCAACTAGTAGCCATTATTAAGAGAAGAAGGTACCACAAGTTTGATTTCCTTATTTATCAAAGCGAGCGGTCCAAGTAATAGCGTTGGCCACGTTTCTGACGACGTACTGTCGATTGCGGCCGATCGCCATGCCACTGCTGTCGCCGCGAAGTATGAGCTGCCTCACGGCAAGCTACATACCCGCTCAACACACTACAATGCGTTGTAAGTGCATGTAGTGTTTGAGGCTCTAGCCATTTCCGGATGAATAAAAACGGCAAAACCCCCGTTTTTGTCTATCGGTCTTTATGCAACTGTATCACTGTCCTGTCAACTCATGGTACGTCGACGTCCCCACTCTCAGCCTCTTACAAATCACCTTGCTGGGATCAACGCCTATATGATGATGTCTCCCGCATTATGAATAAAGTGGCGTTCCCATTCTGGCTTCCCTTATCAGATCTTGTCAACTGCTAGCAGTTGATAAGATTTTTCAGCAGATAGCATTTTCGCATTGGGATCCAGCTGGACTTAGAGATCGATCCTTGGAAATGAAATGGAAAATTGCATCGCATTATCAAGCAGGATAGTGGCCTCAATTTTCCGGACAGACAGACAGACGTAGCAAGCTATATAATCGTTGCTCGCCCATAATTCTATTCCATTTATTACACAACCCTTTTTGTTTCGAAAGGGTTTTGCTTTTTGAAAGGAAATT